AACCAGGTTGAACCGTGGCCGGAATGGTTTGAGCCGGGGCTGTGGGATGATGTAGGGGAAGGCATTTTGCTGGTGATTGGTGGTGTTGGAGGTCTTGGAGGTGTTGGGGGTGTTGGAGAGTTTGCCCGCTGCCCAACGTTGCTCTGGATAATGTTGGATATCAGAAGGAGAGGGCTCTGGAGGTTGTTGAGTGTGAGGGGACAAAAGAGGGAGAGGGCGGGAAAAGTAAAAGCATCGCATCCTCGACCAGGAGGACAAGATTCCACCCATGACGACGTCGTCAATTATTGGGAGCCGGTGAATAGCGGGCCTGGGAGATAAGACAATAGTTGCTTCCTGAACAAGTCTACTTGCTCCATAATTGATGTGGTCTTGCTGGCTGCTCTGGACGGTTGATAAATAAAATAAGACAATAGTTGCTCCTGAAGTGAACAGAAAACTCCGATAGCTCAATAATCGATGAGGTTTTACTGGCTGTCGGCGTTGACGACGACATCAGAGCGTGACCTAACCAGCAAGAGCTAGGATTGCAAGAGCAATAACTGGAATTGTGTTTAGGAATCAGATGATAGGGTCTAGAGATTTCGGGTGGAAAAGTATTTTTGCTCCCATTGCCCGGTGTTGATGCTTCCTACGTAAACAAGAGACTGGAAGCCTGCTGGCGCATCATGAATAAAGCCTAGAAAAGTGTAGGAGAAGACGAATGCTACTACTCAGGCATTAAAGAAAAGTCGGTTAGCCTGATAATCCGTGATGTTCCACTGCCATCGTTGTCTCGACATCAGAGCATCCCCCAAGCTGCCCACAGTTCGGATCACAAGAGCAAGTCGAAAAAGAGCTTGTTGTCGAAGCCATAACAATACTGACCGTGAGATCGGACGGCAAAATATCTATGCACCCGCTACCAGACACAGACCGCAAGTTGTCATCAGGAGCAACTGTGATGAGTTGGTCTCTCTCTCTCCCCGGGGTCCAGGGGCTCAAGTTGTGATGAGAAGTTGTTGGGAAGAAAAGACCTTTCGTGTGAGATCTAGCAATAATTAAATACACAACACATGGCAAAAGTATAACTGGTAGCCCTGAGCAATGAATGCTCTTGTGTGCGAGTAACCACCGGTTTGTTTTGAGGTTTGTGATCAACCCCTGAGTCTTGGCGTGTTGTGGTAAACAACAGACCTAGTTCAAAGTCAGCGGGTCGGCTATGAGTATTTGCTGGGAGCGGATATGCTAGACTTTTCTGGGCAAGCGTTTCTGTATGGTTTGTAAGAAGCCAGGATTGGGTTGGTCGGAGTTTGTTTTGGTATTAGGTTGACTGTCTACGGGCCTGCAGGCAGCGGTGATGATAGGAATGCAAATGAGAGTCAGATGTAGTGACATCTCTCAATGGCTACACTTGGATTCAACCGGGGAATATGACCTCTCGGGTGTCTGGCCTTTCTATTCGGTAGGTATAGTTTGGTCAGGCCACCAGATACGTCATCACAAGCCAAGCAATAGGTGCAAGATTCACAAAAGACAAGCTTTCAAGGAAAACACACCAAATACATTGTACACCATGCTCCAGAGCATGCTAACTACCTACCTTGCCCCTAAACTCCTATCAACGAATTTCAAAACGTGCAAAAAAGAAAACAAATCACCCCACCTCCTTACCCTTCCCTTCATCCTCGTCCTCCTCCCCCTTTTTCTTGTCCTCCTCCCCCTCACCTTTCCCCACCCCCTCAACAAACCCATTCCCAACCTCCAACCCACCTCCGAACCCCAAAACTACCCTCTCCCCCGGATTCCACCCCCCCCTCAACTCCCACAACTTCACCACCCCCCTCTGCCCAACCCTATGCACCCGCCCAAAAACCTGCCTCCCCTCCCTCCTCGTCCACGTCGGCCCCGTCAAAACCAAATACCCCGCCCTCTGCAGATTAAACCCTGTCCCACAAACCCCCGTCGGCGCAACCAGCACATTCGGCGCCGCGTTCCCCACCTCCAAAAACTTGTCAATCACCCTCTGCCTCTCCAGACTAGTCATATTCCCATGAACATAAACCGGCTTCACCCCTTCCGGCTCAGGGTTAGTAAGCCACAGAAACAGCAGAAGCGATTCTGCCTCGAGGGGGGAGAATAAAACCAGCTTTTTGCAGGAGGAGGGCTCCCCTGGGATTTTTGTCTTGTCGTTGACCATCTGGGTGATGATGGAGGAGATGGTGGCGAGCTTTGGGGAGAGGAGGGTGAAGGAGGGGAGGTGAGGGAAGTAGGGTGTTTTGGAGGGGTTGCCGGAGGCGGTGGTGAGGAAGGTGGATACCTCCTCGGGGGAAAAGGTGAAATTTGTTGTGGTGCTGGCGATGGAGGGGAAGGTTCCGCATAACCGGAGTTTGAGTAGGAGGTCTGGGCCGGTGGTGGGGGGTTTGAGGTTTGCGGTGGGGGGGATGGTGGTGGAGGCGAGGGATTGGAGGGGGGGGATGTGGCATGAGGGAAGGGTGTGGTCGATGATGTTGACTTTGAGTTTGCCGAGGTAGGTTAGTTTGGTGGATTGGAAGGTGTCGGTTGCTAGGCGGCGGACCATCAGTTGGGTGAGGAGCTTGTCGAGGCGGTGGTAGTATTCGTTGATTTTGGTTTGGGTAAAGGGAGATCCTTGGGTGGTGGAGGTAGTGTAGGAGTCGAAGAGTTTGATGCACTCGTCGAGGTGGGCGACGGTGGCGGATGATAAGGGGTGGTTGGGTTTGCTCCAGATTTGAGGTCGTTCGAGGACTTCAAGGGCAGAGCGGAGGTCGGAGGGGGAGTTCTCGAAGGGTGTGCCAGACACAAAATAAACCAGAGGAATGAGTCGCTTGTTATTGATACTGGAAATCCTAAGATGCTTGAGCCAGGCAGTGACGCGGTTGACCTCGCCAGAGGAGGCAGCGTATTGGTGAAACTCGTCCAGCATGACGATTCCGGGAGTGAAGGTGGTCTTGCTCTTGGCGAACTCGGCTCCCAGCTTGTGGATTGACTCCGGAGAGACGACAATGACAAAGTCGCTCTGGGCTGTGGCATTACCACTCCGCAGAGACGCGAGCTCGGCAGAGGTCAACTTGGATTCCTTGTCAGTCATGTGAATGTCAGTGCCGTAACCACGGACTCTGATGACCTTGCCGTCCAGTTTGGTCTTCGCGTCCTTGACCATGGGTCCGCAGTTTGTTGCCGGCGCAATAATGACATTGGGTCCATCGGGAAGACGATCGGCCAGGTTTCTGGTAAGTTCGTTGTAGCAATAGCATTTGAACCCCCATTTCTGATCATAAAGGCAGGATCGAGCATCTTTTGAGTTCTTGGCGTTATGTTTGTTAGCCGGTCCTTTCTTGACAGCTTTCCCCTTGGCCGATGGACTCCAAAACTCAGTAACATCAGCCTTACATCGCCGAAGGTTGTGAGCCAGAAGGAGAACACCAAACATCTCTTGTGTCTTTCCCAAACCTTGCTCATCCGCCAGAAACCCACCCCTGACATCATTCAGAACAAAATTAAGGAGATTGTAGACGCCCATGAGCTGGTAGTCGAACAAACCAACAGTCATGCCGGGAAGCTTTTTGACGGGAACACGGGTGCTGTGAGTGGCCGAGGACGCCTTGATGGCGAGCTGTCTCCTGTACTCCTCCGCATGGACGCCGAAGAATTCAAGACAAGAGTTCCATTCGCGTTCCGTATCGCCATCATTATAGGCCCCGAGGCTGTCATCAATGATATCACGGTAGTTTGCGCCGTAATCCGGATCCTCGGTGGTAGTGATCTGGTAACTGTCCACATTTGGCTCAGCCTTTTCGTCATGTTTCTCGGGAGAGGCACGAGGGCTCGAGATAATCGGTGATTCAGTGGTTGCGATATTGAATGTTTCGGTAGCAGACACAATGCTCGTGGTAACGCTTCTCGGGGAGCTGGGCGGGGTGTTTTCAAAGAACCTGTCGGGAAGAAAATACCAAGGACTGATGACCTCGTGGGTATACTCTCTCTTAGACAGAAACCCCGGCTTAGGAAGACCGGTAGGATATTTGGCGTGGCGCTGACGGAACTTCATGTCCCAGTACTCGCTCTCTGTGATGAAGTCAAGCTCAAGAGCCATCTCAGGAAAGTCATCCCAGTCTGAGAAATTCGGCTGGTCAGGTTCCTCAAAAGACTCCTTGGAGGGTGGTGTTACTGCTGACAAGACCGCTCTGTTGTATTCTTCCTCCTCGATAGTATTGGATGGCTCGAGGGAGGAAGAGGGCTCGTCTGTGACGGGTGGCTTATCACTCCCTCCAATTCTCCAAAGATCATTGGGGAGATCTTCCAAATCAGGTCGAAATTCCATCTCGACATATCGATCATCTTCTTCGCTGCAAGCAATCTGAATCAGTAGTTGTTCCCAGTCAGATCTATATTCCAGATCCTTCTCCTCGCCATTCTGAATGACAAAGAGCTTGTGCAGGATGGGATCATAGCCAAGCTGTCGGTTCATCCAATTCTTGAGGCGTGCAAAAGACTTGGGTAAGGGTTCTTGTCCGGTTCTCGAGCTGTTCATAGTTGATATCTGCTACAGTGTGTAACAGAAAACATTCAACAGGCTTGACGGATGCGTCATCGCGGTTAATAAGCAGAATGGTGTTGTACAGCCTTATCCAGACAGGCACGGCCGCGTTGGTGGGCTTTGAGGTAGAAGCCATTGTTGTAAAGGGGGTCACTTCCAGAGTGAAAAAGAGTGGTAAAGAGGCTTGTGGTCTGAAAACCAACTGATATCGTGATTTGCTTCGTTTTAATACAAATATTCACTAGATGAGGACTGTACCGAACAATTACAGTCCGGAAGAACCATGTTCATCTGCAATGGTGGCGAGCTGAAACAATCCAACTGGAGGCACCACCCAGAATGTCCTTGAGCTGGAGTCAAAGAACCCCCCACTAAGCCCTTGTGAGATTGTCCAAACAAAGGAAGCCCCGTGCTTCTGTACTTAGTACCAGGCCGCAACATCTTTGTTATGGTCTTTTTACACTTAGTTCCGATACTTGAGGTCAGGCGTCAGCCCAGGAATAGCATCCAACCCTACAGACATGGTCAGCATTGCCCGTGCAACGTCATTCTGGGACTGGAAGAGAGGTAGAAGCTTACAGCCATCAATCTTCTCGCGCACATGGAGAGGGCCTATGCATTTGTTTCCCGTGGCTAAGCTCTGAGACTTGAGCTGTGGGCACCTATCGCAATTGGAGTCCATGGCAATTTGCAAAGCATTGTCTTTCCAGCCAAAAACATAATCACCGTGATTTCCGAACCCAGTCTCGTCGCCCTGGCTCCAGACAAATGGCTGGCTGCCATCTTCGGGCCATAGGTCCTTTGCATTGAACTTGGATGTGTCCCAAATAACTTCAAAGAAGAGCTGTGGAATCTTGACGGGGTGAGATGCCGGGCATGGGCCATTGTTCTCGAAGGTACCAGATGCAGGGTAGGCAACATGTGCCATGTGGTCGGGCGTGTCGAGATTCTTGCCATCCCAGCAAGTTGGAAATCGGACATTTGACATGATTCCTGCCGGGCAAGGCCGCTTGGGCATATCGAGCGTCTCTCCAGTGCGGGTCAGAATGTTTTGCAGACATGTGTATGTAAGTTGTCGGAATCTCGAGGCTTCTTCGCGGGTGCGGTATTCTTGTTTGCCGATCAGCATTCGGAAACCAGGTCTGAAAGCCGTGACGGTGCCCGGCCCCCCACGGCCAGTGAAGAAGGGCGTGTAATAGACCGTCATGCCACCATTGGCAGCTTCAAACCCCATATTTGGCTTTTGCGGCACCCGAATAAACGACCCATTCCGAGCACGGAAGTAGAGGATGGCTGTCCAGTAATTGGAAAAGTCGTCGGCGAAGGTGCAAGTGGTGCATGTCGCCTGAGAGGGAGGTGGTGTTGCTGGATCCATCGTGACGTTGAATGCATTCTACCAACCAGTCAGTCTTTGCTTTTATTCGAGGGTTGATATCAGGACCAACATACGCCTCCGACGATTTGGTGAAGATGTGGAGATGGAGCCATTCCAGGATTGACCAAGCTAAGGGGCACAGATTCGTGGTCAGTCTGGGATCGCTAGGTATTCAACGAAACGAGGGGCTCACGGGTCAAGTCGCTCAACCACGAGCTGCGAGCATGAGAAGCGTAGCAGGGCGCTTGCCGTCGACGCTGTCAGCGCCACGGCTGCAAGGAAACGTATGTGCATGTTGGAGGTGCCGCGACTCAGTCTCTGTGGTTGTCGATGTCAACAACGACAAGAATGAAAGAGTCGGAAGGCATGGCTAAATGTCATGGCCAAGGGGGCAAAGTTTGGTGATGTCGCCGCTGGAGGTGTGCTGGATTCATTTGAAATTTTTGGCTGATCTTGTCTATTTTGGAGGTCAATATAGAGAGGTCGTCTAACTTGGAGCCGGTACTCCAAGGCCAGTCATCTGATTGATGGATAAGTTGGTCGGCATGGCTGCTGCCGCATTGCTTCTCGGCACTGGGGAGTACCGGCAAATGAGTCCAGGAAGAAATAGATTCATAGCAAATGGGGCTGATAATTGCTTGCATATAGTTGCCTGTCCGGATCCCGGATCTGTGCCGAAACTTGGGTGAGCTTGGTTCGCCAATTGTGGTCTATTTCGTAAGCGGGGAGATCATGAAAAGACAATCCAAACCTGAACAAAACGTCCAAAGCTTATTAGTTGAAAATAAATGTGGTTTGTGCGTTTGTACGAGCGTGCCTGCCTGAGAGGTTGAGAACTCCTTCCCAACTTCAAGCTTTCAGATAGGCAGCAGTCCATGGTTGGGTCGGCTGTATGGAGCGGAACTTTCCGCACACACATCTGCTCTTGAATATTTCTACACTGTCGTTTTCATTTTCCGTGGTCTATTTTCCAAGCAACATCACACAGGCCACGAGATATCACGACGTTGAAGACCTCGAGAGATCAACTCGACTAATCCAGTCAAGTCAACAGCCGGTTGGCAGCTGCCCGCCTGAGATACGATAACCAACCTCCACTACACAGTCCAAAATATCCCCCCTTATGCGCAAGATTGCAATCCTTCATTAAACATCGTGTTCGGTATGCACACGATGCACAAGCCGTCGAGAATTCGTCGCAGCAAAATCCCAATTGGTCGTGCTGCATCCAAGACCTCACTAATTAATGGCCTGTGCGTGAACACCTCGCAGAACGCCAAGCCATTTGGACACCACGCTTACGGAAAAAGCACAGATGCTCATCACCGACCACAGTTGCCCTACAGCGTGTGATTCATCCCAAGACGAAACGTTGAACTGTCACTCGTTGGATCGCCGCCGTTGTCGTTGCATTAACGTTCCCGCTGTCATCCACCTCCAACGATGTCCGAGAACAGAGCCTCCCCAAAGATCCAGGGGTAATAAACGGGCAATGTGAGACGAGAGTCCAAGCTCCGACACTTACACGCCATGCCCCGTGCTCCACCACACCCTTTCTTTCTGGGGAACATCGCGCACAGCATTGGCGGCCCGCGAATACGCACCTGTGGAGTTGGTGTCGTGCTTGGTGGGACGCCTGTCCTTGTCATTTGCAATCTTTGCTTCCATTTGTCCTCAACCCTGCAAACAGCTACGTAAATCACGCAGGAATCGGGTCAAGGTAGCTACAGAAGGGGACTTTTTGGGGGGGCGGGGGGTGATGGTATGCTACATACCATGTGTCGATCGTCCGGCTGCTGTGGGATCGCCATCAATCGTCTCGTTTTTTGTTCGCCGTCCTCGGGTTGTGGGAGAGTCCGGGGAATCCATGATATGAACGGCTCACCCAATATCTCGGGCAGCCATCCCGCCTTGCCCCAGATTTTTCTCCCCGGACTGGCTTTCTCTTGTTGATCGTTCCCCCCTTGCACCCCACCCACTGGCAGATGAGGCAGCCGTTGAGCGGAACCGCCGTCGTCGGGTAGTTTGTTGTTGTTGCTGTCCTCGCCGTTGCCAGCGCCATCTTCTGCGAAGCTGGCGTGCTGCGACTCTGATGTCGCACTTTACCGCCACCATAACGACGACCGACTTGACGTCATATTCCCATGAGCCCACGACAACGCATGGCTCGACCAAGGTAGCACGGGGTGAGGCGGAAACGCCAGGGTTCAAGGTCAAGCAGACGGTGGATTATGGGCACCAGATCAACTTTACCATTTGGTTTTTGACTGCCTTGTCGGCGGCCTTTCTGGCACTGAGGGTGTACTCCAAGTCTTTGAGGCATCGAGGGTTGTGGTGGGATGATCATGTTCTTATTGCTTCGTGGGTGAGTGGTGTCCTTTCCTATCCCCTACCCAGCAGCTATCTGACAATGCCACAGATAGCACTTGCCTTGTCTTGTGCCTTCGTCTCCGTCTCTGTCACCTACGGTTTTGGTCGGTCACTCTCGCTCTTCAACTTCAAGAACCTCAACATCTATCTGTTATACTGTAACTTGGCCGGCACCTTCTCCATCTTGGCCGCTTGTTGGAGCAAGACCTCGTTTGCCATCACCATCTTGCGCATATCAAACGGATGGATGAAGTGGCTGGTCTGGTTCATCATCGTGACGGTTAACCTCTCGCTCGGGGTGGCGATTGCGCTCACGTGGGGGCAGTGCACGCCAATTGCAAAGATCTGGCAGCCAAATCTGGAGGGAAGTTGCTGGTCCAAGCATTACCAGGTTAGGTATAACATCTTTACGGCCAGTAAGTCGAGTCTCCGATTGCACCAAAAGAAGGGACTTACGTTTGGCTGACATGCTTTCAGTCTACTCTGGCGCAATGGATATTGTTCTCGCCTTGCTCCCCTGGAGGATCATCTGGAAGCTCACCATGAACAAGAAGGAGAAGTTTGGCGTCCTCGTCGCCATGAGCATGGGTGTTTTTGCCGGCGTCACCTCCATCATCAAGATAACACAGCTTCCCTCCATCTCCGACGCGTCGTTTACCGAGTCCACGACCCAGCTCGCCATTCTGGCCGCAGCCGAGGGTGCAATCACCATCGTTGCCGCTTCGATTCCTATACTCCGCGCTCTGCTCAAGCACAACGGCCCCCCGCCCGGCCCGGCAGAGTTTTATCACGATATTTACACCGGTTCTTCCAACGCGCAGGGCACAGGTCGCAGCTCGACGGTCATCAGCTCCCAGGGACATCGTCGCAATGAATCCAGTTGGAGCCGGGCGAGTCGAGTCAGCAGTAACAAAGAAACCAATGTCGGAGGTTCTTCTGGGCGGCCGGGGAGCAGGTCAGGGTCCGTCATCAGGTTGTCACGACTGTCGAGGTTTAGTGGGTTCAGTGCTGGGATGTTTAACCCGAATGGGTACCCCAGTGGGAGTAGGGGGTCGTCGATACGGGGCTCCATGTCGAGGAGCAGGAGTAGGATACGATCGAGGAACCAGAGCACGAATTCTTTTGGGAGTGTCGAGGCAGGGGATGAATTTGAGCCGCCGCCTGGGAAGATCATCCAGACGGAAGAGGTCAGCGTGGAGTATGAAGTGAATGACAGGATGGGGATGCCGAGTGTGCCGTTGCCAAATAGGCTGATGCCGGATGATCTGCCGGATCTACCTATGCCAGCGGCAGTGCAGATGACTACGGCAGAGGTGCAAGGGCAGACGTTGCATCATTATCATCAAAGGATGGACTCTGTGCCGAGTGATAGGCAGTGGATGGGGGCAGCGGGGAGAATTGTGTAGGTTCGCATGGGGCATGAGTTTCGGGGTCTTCGTTTTGGTTTCGGGTTGGGAACGGTTGGTAAGGGAAGGTTTGGAGCATCTTGCATTCGTCTTGGTCGTTCTTTCGTTTTTGTTTTGGGTGCTGACGGTCATGACCTTGGGATACCCGGTTTATTCATGTTGCGAGCGTTGATTATGTGTAGCGTTGAGGTTTGGGATGGGGTCGCCTGTTCAAAATATTATGTCGTTTAATCAATGATGTTTTTTTCTTGTTGCCTGCGACTTTTGCGCGGACTGCCCTGGCATTGAACTGGCAGCTGTTCTTGTATCAGATAGTACGAGGTTCCTGTGAACCCAAGGCTTTGAGACCAGTCCACTGGTTATGAACATGATGATGAAGATAAAAATCAATTATCAGATAATGAACTTGATGAAGTCGATTGCCGAGGTAGTCAATAATAGACTGTGAGAAGAAAAGAGGGCAAAACGCTCACCGACGTTGGCCGGTTACGAAAACCCAGAGGTTTTAACCAAGAATCGAACGGTGGGCGTCTCGGGGCTACGGGGCTACGGTGAGCCCCGGCGGGGGACAGCCCCAATACCCTGACCACTTGACCACGAGGTTGTTGTGGAGGGTACTGGGGCTGGTTGAATGATGTGTTTTTGACCTGGTATATAAACCATGGTTCTGCCCCTATGGACCGCGACTGTCTTTGCATCATTACTGTCACCGACTTTTTCTCCAACTCCCCATTAACTTCTCCAACTCAGGTAAATTTAACATTCTAACCAAATCTATCTCACAACCTCCCCTCCTTTACCAACCCCTCCCTCACCCTCTCATACCTCTCCTCAGCATCCCTCTCCGAATCAAAATCCAGTATCCACCCCTCCCGCTTCAAATGCAACACCTCCGGCTCCTTCCAAATGACATCCCAATCCGCCTTATGCCACTGCTCCCTCGTCGTAACCCCAGTCTTTTGCACCCGATGCACCCGCTCATACCTCAAACCCTCCCACACCCTCACCGCCTCCTTCACCTTTGTCCCATCCCCCTTGATCCTATCAAGACAAACCGCCAGCACCACCCCATCCTCCATAGCCTGACTCGCCCCCTGAATCGACGTCGGCAAAAAAGGGTGCGCCGCGTCCCCGACAAGTATCGTCCTCCCCTCCGGTGAGACAAACGTAGGCAAGGGATCGCGAAAGACAAGCTTATAGTCAAACAGTCTCTCCTCGGGAGTAGCCTTGACCAGTTCCTTCACGACCGGATCCCAGTTTTGGAGGAGCGAAAGCGCGGCTGGTTTCGAACCGGGGAATTGCCATGATTCGGATATGTCGGATGTGTCGACGTGGGTGCACACCCAGGAGATTTCTTTGCCGTTCTTGATGCTCGCCGCTAAAAAATGGACGTCGGTGCCGATCCAGGCGTTGTGGGTGTCGCCTCTTGAGACGAGGTGGGATGTTAAGGGGGAAGAAAAAAAAGAAAGGGGGGTGGGGAACCAAGACCGGAAGACGGCGTAGCCTGAGGGGAGGGGGTGGTCTTCTTCCCCAAGGATGAGGGTTCTGGCTTTGGAACGGACGCCTTCGGCTGCGATGACGAGGTCTGCGGTGTGAGCTTCCCCTGAGGAGGTGACAACCCCTGCGTGGGACGGGGTTTCAAAGTATTTTGTCACTGTCACCCCCAACCGGATGGGGATCCCGAGGGAGAGGGCGTGGGAGTAGACTAAAGAGTGGATTTCCCCTCTGTGGCCGTTTATTCTCTCACCCCAGGCGAGGTGTTCTTCTTTGAAGGATTGGGTTGTCACAAAACGGCCGGAGGAGTCGTGGAAGTGGACTTGGTCGGCTTTGTGGATGATGGGGGAGAGGAGGTCGGGGAGGTTGCCCCAGTTGGTGAAGATGCGGGAGGAGTTTTGGCCAAAGGAGATTATGTCGCCTAGGGGGGAGAGGGAGGGGGATTTTTCGAAGAGGACGAGGTTGGTGAGGCCTTTGCGGTGGCATTCGATTGCGGCAGTGAGGCCGGCGAAACCGGCGCCGATGATGATGATGGAGAGCGGGGGGGAGGAGGGGGGTGTCATGTTGGGGATGGTCCATTTTCAAGTGGAGATGAGGGAAGGATGGTGGTTTTAAGAGCAGTGATTGCTGACATTATACCTTGGTGATGGATGGGCTAATTAACAAGTACCGAGAGATGGTGCTGGACATTGCAACTGCATGCTATTACCCCGCATGAGATTGGGTTGGATCACCACTCAGTGCCTCGAGTTGGAGTCTGTCGGCGCCGGGTATTGATTTGCAGAAGCACGTCAGCCGGGATGTGAGCAAAAGCCAGAGAAGACTTTGATATGACCAGATTTCTGCCCTTCTGTTATCATACTGTGGTTGTTAAAGCCTAGAGGGCAGCCCTGTACCTTTGCCATACATCCCCCCAGAAGTGACGGTCCCAGACTATGATACCAGTATATGATGCATCTTAGATTACTGTAAAATCAAGACCTGGTCTGGTTGACCGTTAGGCCAACAGCTTCGACGTCGTCGTTGGCGGAGCCCGGGCAGGTCACGTGCGGCTGCAACCAAAGCGGTGCGATTCTGACTGCCGTTGCAATTCGGGGAATTGATTGGCTCTGACGGGCCAGGCCGGACAGGGATCGACGCCAGCAAGGCCGAGCTCCCCACCTTTTCTTTCCAGCCACGCGCCTCATGCGAACGTTTTCAACCACATCAGCCTTGAACGCCCTGAGCCACCATCAAGTTTGATACCTCACTAACTTTTGCGCAAACGTCGTCTTTCGCTGCTCTCTCCCCCCCCCCCCCCCCTCTCTCTCTCTCTCGCTCTGTCTTGTGTCTGCTTTTTACTCTTGCTACCCTGTTCCTTTTTGTTCCTCTTTCCTTTGTCTAGTAGGTATACTTGTCCCGACGCCCCGACGCCCATCATCCCAGCGCCTTCATTTTCCCCAGAGGGTCCACCAAGCAGCCTCTAAAGACATCTTCTCCACCCACACACACAATCCTTCCCTCGTTGGCCTTGTCACTGGCCCATCGCGACGACGACACACAGCGCGCACTCCACAGCACAGCGCCTCTCTCTCAATCGCAGAGCTCAGTTTGCCTTTGATCCAAGCTCAAGATCTCAGCGCTGCCTTTTTCGTCTCGTTCCTCTGCCTGCCGCTGGCCTTTCGGCAAAACCACGTCACGCGGCACCTGATCTTCTTCCATTCTTCCATCCCCAACCTCCAAAGCATCAATTGATGCGCCTTGCGACACCGACACAATGTCAGCACCATGTACGAATATTCAGGAGCTTTTCCACCCCATGCCGCTCTCTTTGCTGACCCGTTTGCTTCCAGTGACGGATGAGGAGACCACAGAGTACAGCCGAATCATTGACGGCATCCTCGCCGCCGCCGACCTCCAGACAGTTACCAGGAAAAAGATTCGCCAAGGACTAGAGGCTGCGATTGAGAAGGATCTGAGCGATCAGAAAGTGCGTTTACTCCTGGTCCCGGCGCAAAAGCTGGCACTGGTTTCTAACTTTGTGCCCCTCCACTAGGAAGCAATCAAGAAGCTCATAGAAGCGCGTTTCGACGCCGTATCCGCCAACAATGCCGATGCAACGCCTCCCGAAACGAATGGTTATTCTCCAGAGGATGGAGGCGAGGATGGAGGCGAGGATGGAGAGATCCAAGTCTCGCTGCAGCCGGCCAAGAAAAAGGTGAAGCGCGAGAGCTCCAGTGAGGATGCTGACCGTCGCCTCGCCGCCGAACTTCAGGCTCAAGAGAACGCACTTTCAAGAGCCCGTGTCACGCGCGGAGCTGGCACCACGAAACCAAAAGCAAAGCCCAAGGCCAAGGCTGCCAAGAATAAGAGCGCCAAACGCGTGAGGTCCGATGATGACAGCGAGGTCGAGGACGGCGAGGAAAAGCCAAAGAGAAAAGCCGGAGGAGGCTTTCAAAAGCCATTTAATCTCAGCGAGGCTCTTGCGGATGTGTGTGGCGAGCCACAGGTACGTTCCTTGCTTCCGCTACCCCTCGTACGTCCCCCACATTAACGAATAAAACAGTTGTCGCGCCCACAGGTGGTCAAGAAGCTCTGGGACCATATCAAAGCCAACGAGCTCCAGGACCCCAACGACAAACGCAACATTAACTGTGACGAAAAGCTGAGGGCTGTCTTCAGGCAGGACAAGATCAACATGTTCTCCATGAACAAGCTCTTGGGCAGCCAGCTCTACCCCATCGAGGAGGCCTAGAGGCGGACATGTTTTGGATTTTTTTCTTTTCCTTGTGAGGCAGGCGGGGCGCGCATAGCATATCGTCCTGAGATTGACCTTATTTCTCTTGGCTCAGGATTTATGCCTCGTTTATGGCTGGCATGGATACGGTTGGGCGTCTCGTGTTTACTTTACGGCATATTTCAGTCTTGTTTCTTTTTTACCCCGGACGACTTCGATCTTGGCCTGTGCTTTACTCGTCAGAGGGTTGGCTCACTGGATTCTGAAGGTTGAATGGGACACACCAGGCATAGGATGGTTAACGGGATTGGAGCACAAATATTTTTTCCGGCGTCGTATGGATCTGGCGCTTGGCTCACATTCCATGGTCTTTGTTTACACCCCTTCGAGCCTGATTTTCTATGATTTGTTGAAGCGGAAAATAGCGACAGTTCAGCGGGACAAGCTCGGGGATCACATGGGTACTTTTGGACGTGGTAAAAACGTCCGGGTCGGGTGTGTCTGAGTGGAACAACCGTTGAACTGTGTGAGGGGTTTGTTGCCGCCATTAGTAGGGTCAATGGCCAGCAAGGAGCAGGGAGGTGCTCTGAACATTGGCCATCTTGTTTACATGAATTACCATAGTGCTAATGTTGGAAGCGGTTGGCTTGAACAAACAGAGGATATGATGATTATTATCGGCAGGGTGCATTTCTGTGATATGGCGGCTGTACAAGTGCCACACCACACCACCAACGATGTTGCTGCGCCATGCCCTGGGACTCCCTCCTCTTGGTTCATCTGAATAGATATGATTAATACCTGCAGGCTGCAGGAGTGGGAGTGACTCTGCAAGGCTGAACTCCAGTCTTCCCCCAGATTACACTACCAAGGCTGTGGTTGGGTGAAGCTTTCAGGGGCAGAGCCCAGGCGAGTGACACATTCGCCGACGGTGGTTGGGGCCAATCAGAAGGCCGGCCAAACGCCGGTTAGATCCGTTTGAGACCCGCTTGGCGGGGCACCCCTCCAATGACGCCAATGAAACCCCAAAAAGTTGAGCAAACGTGGAATCTGCGGGAAGCTTTGAAATGCATGAAGCTCTCCTCGCCGCCGGCCTTCAAAGTACTCGCCCCCCCACTGTCTCTCTGTTTTGATTCTCGAACTCGACCTGCATACCATCTCGTCGTGATTGCGATTGCCTTCCTGCTCTTCTCCTGCACCTACTTTGTACCTCTCCGCTCCATATCTAAAGCAGAACAGCACCAGCTCCGATAGACATCCGGCCTGGAAGACCCCGCGATTTCCAGATATCTGTCGCAGCGAGTCAAGCTCCGGACACCGATTAGAACCACCCTCGATCCAATCCTTATAGACACCTACCAGACCGATATGGCTGACGGAGCTGCTCCTACTGGCGATAACCAGGCACCCAGCGGACCTAGAGGCGACGGCAACAGAGGCAGAGGCAGAGGTCGTGGCGGTAGGGGCCGTGGGAGGGGAGACCACTCTCGCGGTAGAGGGCGTGGTGGTGGAGGAGGACGAGGAGGAGGCGCCGGACACCACCGTTCTGGAAACACGGCCACCACAGATCCAGCTTCGCAGGAACCAAAGAAGGCCCCCAACTTCAAAAAGACCGAAGCTCTAGACGGCCAGGCCGACGACAATGCCGAAACCTGCTTCATTTGCGCCAACCCCATCACCCATTTCTCTGTTGCTCCCTGCAACCACACCACATGTCACATCTGTTCTTTGCGGTTGAGAGCGCTCTACAAGAGCAAGGATTGTCCCCATTGCAGGGTGAGAAGCGCTAGCGTGGATGATTTGGGAGAACATGAGCTAACCTACCTGCGCAGACATCATCGCCATATGTTATCTTCACCGACGACGGAACCAAGCGCTTCGAGGACTACACGGCCAAGGACATCACCAGCACAGATGACAACATTGGTATTAAATACGCCGGGGAGGAGATTGTGGGAGATACCATTCTTTTGCTGAGGTTCAATTGCCCGGATTCCGAGTGCGACTTTGCTGGTCTGGGTTGGCAGGACCTGCATCAACACGTCCGCAATGTGCACCACATGAAGATGTGCGACTTGTGCACACGGAACAAGAAGGTCTTTACACATGAGCACGAACTGTTTGCGGACAAGCAGCTCACCGAGCATATGCGCCATGGCGACGACAAGCCCGGCGCGGCCGACCAGACCGGCTTCAGGGGACATCCGCTGTGCGGCTTCTGCGGAGCTAGGTTCTACGATAGCGACAAGTTGTATGAGCATTGCCGCAACAAGCACGAGCGGTGTTTCTTGTGTGATAGGAGAGATTCAAGGCAGCCGCATTATTTCCTCGACTACGACGCACTTGAGCAGCATTTCAAGAAGGATCACTTTCTTTGCAACGATCGGGAATGTCTGGAGAAGAAGTTTGTTGTGTTCGAGTCTGAAATGGATCTCAAGGCCCATCAGCTTTCTGAGCATGGTGGGTCTGTAGGAAGCGGTAGAGATGCAAGGAGGGTAGACATGTCCAACTTTGACTTGCGCCAGAGATATGAGCAGGAGAGAGGGGCTCCCAGGGGCGGAAGAAATCAAGAGCGTCGGCGTGCGCCCGACCCTGCCAACGAGCCGATACCTGCCAGCTCCGCCCAGCCTCTGCGAAGAGATGAGATTGCCTTTCAGCGTCAGATGGCGATACAATCCGGCGCTGCTAACCGGGCACCGCCACCTGGCCCTGCTCCCGGCCCGTCTCGACCACCACCTCCAGCCATCACAGCCTCTCGTGCGGCTGCCGCTGCCACCACCGCACCCATCGACGCCATGGAAAACCTCTCCATAACCGACTGGTCATCTCTCACCCAGGAACAACGTGCCAGCTTGGCCCGCCACAACGCTGTTGTCGAGCGCGCGTCTAATCTCCTTGGCAACAACGAGAACAAGATTGCCACTTTTAGACAATACATCTCCAACTACAACCGCGGAAGCATGAACCCAACCCAGCTCATCGACGCCTTTGCTTCGTTGTTTGCCGACACCTCCTCCGACACGGCGTTGGGGACCCTGGTGAGGGAAGTAGCAGAGTTGTTTGAAGACAAGAAGAAGGGAGAGGGTCTCCGCGCGGCGTGGCAGAACAGGAGGGCGAGAACGCAGGACAGGGAGGAGGAGTATCCTTCCCTTCCGGGATTGGGGGGCATGCACGGCGCTACTACCTCGACGACAGGGTGGGCGACGGCTGCGGCGCCGACGAGAGTCACGCTTCACAACAATGGCGCTGCTGCTAACTCGAACCGGGTGTTGAAACTGAAGAATAGCACTAGGAGAGGGAGTGTGGGTAACGCGTCGGTGATGTCTTTTGCTTCGGCGTCGAGCGGTGGGGGGGGGTAGGGGTGTTGCTGCTTCTTCGGCAGCTGCGTTTCCTGCTCTTCCTTCTGCGTCGAGACCTGCGCCGGCACAGCCAAGTTGGACTGCTGGGGGGAGCAGCGCACCTCCGGCACCGAAGACCACGACTGCTAGTCACGTTGGGACGGGAGCGGTGAAGAGGGGGCCGCCGCCGCAGACGAACAGTAGTGATGCTTTTCCTGCTTTGCCTGCTGCTCCGAAGCCAAAGACCACTATTTTTGGGTATGGGAGGGGGGTGGTGAGGAGGGATTTTGGGGTGAGTAGGGATACTGGGTTTAGCTGGGGGGGGGGTGGTGGTGGTGGTGGTGCGGCAAGTGGAAGTGGAAACGCGGGAGGGGCAGGTGAGGAGGTGCAACAGCAGCAGGATGGTGGGCAGGGAGGGCAGGGAGGTAAGGGGAAGAAGGGGAAGAAGCAGGTTTTGGCTCATTGGGGCTGAGATCAGGTTGTAGGGAGGGGAGTTGTTAAGAGGGTGATATAAGGTTGACATTGCATATGGGGGTGTTTACGGTATGTGTGTGTAGCATTTTTGCATCTGCAAGATAAAAACAACAGCCATTTTGTCTTGTTTTATGTGACCACCACCTAGTTGCTTCTGATATTCGGATACATATACATGGTCGTTGATATAGTATGTTTCTTTATAAGCAACAAACTTGATCAACTCTAAACATCAAAATAGAGAGGCAGATCCTGGAAGCCAAAGACATATTACATAAACCTTCAAACTGTGCTACAAAAAACATTTATCAAAACCACCTCATACTTAAGAGATCACTGCACCACACACTCCCCTCCCCCAACCCCCAACCCCAGTCACCACGACCCCCTAAGGCACCACAACCCCCTAAGGCACCACAACCTCAGGCTCATAATATCCCCTGAACCGATTCCCCTCCCAAGCCCCAATCTCCCAAACCACATGCCAGCACTCGAGCAACAACATCGGAAACCTGCTCGACCAAAACTGCATGTACCCCTCCGGCAAGCTCCCCACCATCTTCTTGACATTCTCGGGCATATCCTCATAATGATTCTTTTTATTCCTCAACGCCCTCAACAAATCAAGCATCTTATCCCCCGTATACTTCCTCTGCTTGCCCAAACTATCCACAAACGGCTGCGGCAATTTCTTCAAAAAGTTCTGCCCTAGCCCAATAACCTCCTTGCTGCTCGCCTCCAGGGTAACAAGCGATGCAGAAGGTGGATCACGCGGTTCTTTTTCGAAGTGGTCAGAGACGTCGCACAAAAAGTCGAGGCGTTTCTTGGGGTCCCAAAAGAAAGGGTGGCCCATGACTTGCTTGGCTGTGGGGCGCTCCTTGGGGTCCGGGTTGAGCATCCAGTCGATTAGATGTTCTGCTTCGGCGGTTCTATCGCCCAAAACACTGAGGTCCTTGAGGCTTTTGGTGCCCTTGCGGATGTTGACCTCGCGCATGAAGCGGTCGCCGCAGTCGTAGGGGTGTTTGCCGCGGGTCAGCATGTAATAGTACACCAAGCCCAGCGAAAAGATGTCAATAGCACGAGTGACGCGGCGTGTGGACGACGGGGTGCCCTCCGGACCGGTGGCGTTGGACGTGGAATGGAAGCTGGAGCCCGGTTCGGCGAGAGCCATGGGGTGCGCGTGCGGTGGTGCGTCGTCGTCGATCAGAAGCTCGGGAGCGCGCCAGCCTGTGGTTCCTGCAGCGTGGGCGGTGGTGGCACCAAACGAGGACTGGGTGCCTTCCAGCTTCTTGCATAGACCGAAATCAGAGACCAGAATGCGCGGTCGGCCGTTTTTGCCCATGTTGACGAGGATGTTTTGAGGCTTGAGGTCGCGATGGACGATGCGCAACGAATGCAGATGGCTGATGCCATTGGCGATTTGCAAGAGGACGTTCTCCATGTGCATCTCGCCAGCTCTCGCCAGGGCGAGGTGGTTGTATGGTTTGGTAATGACATCGGCCAATGACGCCTCGCACAGCTCGAGGGCAATGTACAGAAACGAAGCACGCTGTTGCTGGGCAAAGTATCGAATCACTGTTTGGGTTAGCCACTAGCGCAAGGACAACAGCGGCAAAGAGTAAAACGTACCGTTGTAGTTGTCATCACTCTCGCGCAACAGCTTCGTTTCCTGGCTGGCAATCTCGTGAAACTGCACCAACATACGCTTCACAGCAACGGCACGACCATCCCACTTGCCAGAAAAGACAACGGTACCGTTGCTTCCTGTGCCCAGCTGATCGGCTTCGTTGACCTCGAGCCCGCCCATTCGAATGATGGAGCCGGAAACCTCGTCAGTGTTGCCGGAGACGGTCAAAATATCAGGCTCCAACGTCGGTGCGGGACGAAGCTGCTTCGCCTTGTTGACAGCCTCCTCCACGGACTCCTGCGGAGGGTCGTCATCTCGAGATCCTGAATTATCACCCTGCTCCTTGCTACCGTTTCCTTTTTGGTGTTTCTTACCACCACGACGGCCTCTGTGCGCCTTCTTCTTCTTAGGAGTTTCAGCAGCAACAGTGGCACCGTCAGTAACGGGGTTGGACGTGGGTGTGGACGCATCCAAAGCCGCAGGCTCAACGAGAGCGGGGACAGCAACGGGGATGGGTGTGGCGTCGCCGCCCGAAGCCACAATAGGTGTCTCGAGCTCTTCCTTTGGTGCACTGGGCTCGACTGGCACCGCCTGTGGGGCAGCAGCCTCCGGAGTCGTCGGCAGCTCTTCGATTTGAGGACTCGGTAGCACCTTGACTTCGAATTCGGGGTGGTGCGTCTTGGACGTCTGGCCATTCAGAAACCACTTGCGAATCGAGTCTTTAAAGTACACCGCCAGAAACAACAAGACGATGAACATGTTTTGAGGGCTGAACAACTCGGACACGGTGGTGTTGCCAAACTTGTCGATTTGCTCCTTTGCCGCGTGCAAAATGTCAGTGGACGCCGGTTCAGCCGGGGACAATGACTGAGGGACGTCCAGGTTGGGAGGAGACTCGATGCCCTCATGCTTGGGGGGCGCGTCGATCAACAGAGGCAAGCTGGCGACATCCTTGAAGGGGAGACTGCCGGGCTGAGCGACGGGGACTTGATGGACGCCAACCAGAGCCTTGGACATTTGGACTTCGTTGGGCCTGTCAACGGCTTTCCACCACTCTGCTTTGCCGATCTGTGCCGCCGGGGCCTGTGAAATCAAGGGATAACGGCTTTTGGACATGGCGTACCAACTGCCGGTCCCAGTTTGGTTGAGTAACACCTTTTCATCGTCGAAACCGGTGTTTTGCTGCCCAGGCAGTGGAGGATGGGGCAGAACAACACGGCGTGGCTTCTCGCCCGGTTTTGATTCCCCGCGCTGCAAGACATCAAAGACGCGAGCGATGGGCGAGTCGAGCGTGGACATGAACAACTGATCTGCCTTGCTGGAATACGCGATTCCGAAGAAACGCCCGTCGGGAGCACCGGTGATGTACGTTCGGTCCCTGCTGAACTGGTTCTGCTGGATCAGATCCCTGTCGCGAGTATTGGGGCCCCATTCGCTGTATTTGAGAGACGCAATGGGCCCGCTTCCTACACGGTGAATCACGACGGTGTATTCGGTGCGTCCCAGGGTGATGGTACCGCTGTGGCATGCCTCGTCCTCGTCGGTGAGGGCGTTCGGTTTGTAGCAACTCTCGTTATCCACCTGGTTGACAAAAACGCCACCAGAGCCGACCTCTTCCATGATGGCGCCTGTTGCGGCGTTGAAAGTGACCATGGTGGTTTTCTTGTCCCCGGTGTACATGATGCCCTCGTCCGGGTCACTGAGCGGGGAGAGATCTTCCACCACCTTTTTCATGGTCCAGGGCATCTTGGCGAGGCCGGTCCCTTCTTCGTTTGGCCTCCACAGATAGAGCTCCCCGTCGCGGGTGGGCTCCACCACCCATATGTAGTGATCAATGGGATCAAAGTCTTCGTCAAGAACGGAGCGGTTGGTACGAAAGTGACGGGTCTCGATCATGGGACTACCGGCCTTGAAGTGCCAGCGCTCCACGCCGGTTCTCCTGTCGCTGGCGTAGAGATCCCCATCGACGGTCGCCAGAAGAACAAAGTCTTCCACTTCCCACTCCTCCAGACGCCGCGCAATATGCTGCGAGAGTCCAGCTCCACGGTTGGGGCTGTCTTTTGATGGAGGAGGTGCTCGAACGGACAGGTCGGAGGAGTCCGGAGCAAAAGCTTGGGCGCGCACATCGTGAGCATTGTAGATGTTGTTGGTGTCGGTATCGCGGGATGGTGACAGCACGTCGGGCTCCCGGGTGACGGTGTTCTTGCGCCGTGCGTGGATGGCAGGCGTTTCGACGAGGGGCTCGGCCGTCAGGGCGGTCGAGGCTATGTTTTGAGCGACATGCTGGTGGTCGCCCTCGAGGGGAGATCGTAACCGGTCTGGCTGACGCTGATCGTGGCCCGAGTGCTGCTGCTGAGCATCGGCCAACTGGAGCAGAGGCAGGAAGATTACGGCGAGGGTTGCCCAGGTGTATTTGCGCTGGCCAGGAGGCCGTCGCAACATGTTGGGGACGTCAACGCGACTGACTCGGGGGTCGTTGTTGCTGCACGGCCGTCGAGGGTCGAGGTCGAGAGTGGATTCGGTCTACTGCAGGCGACCGACAACGGAGGAGGTCGACTTGTTTGGTCAAAGCTGGTAAAGGTCGTCGGCGTCGCTGTGTATAACACCTATTCAGTATGATGGCACGATGGGGAGCAAGGAGGAGCAAGGGCAAGGAGTAAGCAAGGTGAGGAGCGGATGGAGGGCTGTGGAAGCAATAAATGGAAGCAATTGGACACGCAAGAATGGCCCTGTTCCGGCTCGCCCTTCCTCGCCAAGAGCTGTTGACATGGATGTTAGGGCACGGGAACGAAGTGGGGTCCGGTTAGCGACAGACCTCCCCTGAAGTTATCAAGTGACATTTTCACCATCGTGGAGCAAAAACATTGACAAAGGAGCACCTTGATGACCTCGCTGTGATTTGATCGAGAATTTTGATAGCTTTTGAACTGTAATTCGAGTCTATATCAGAGCCACAAAACCTAATTTGCTGGTCATGCGTAAACTTACGCCTTCACCACCCCCACGTGGGCGAGGAAGTTAACGCCTTTGCTGAAAACAACCTAGCCAGGCAGCCAGTTCTGGGATGTCAGGTAACAGTAGGAAGCTTAAATTTGAACAGATCTCGTATCTCGATCAAAAAACACCATCAGATATAAAATATATGCCTAGCAATTAACTCAAGTCACGAGTCTTCCGGCAAGTCAGATGAGGGAGCTCCAGTGCGTGTAAGTGAAGAGTGACGATGGAGCAACTCAAATGTATCCCTCTAACAATTTTGAAACAGGCTGTGCGTCAATCTCGGCCGATGATTGGACAACCCGCCAAGACACTTGGTTACAAGTACCCCTCCATCAACAACAACAGCACAATCTGGTGCAATCCTCTGGCCGCCCTTGGGCTGGAGAGAGCGAGAGAGAGAGAAAAAAATTGGCGACGGCTAAAGTCATCCAAGTCGGACGCACACCATCTCGACCATCACACAGGCACAGGACACAGGACAAATTGTCCACTGCAGAAAAGATAAAGTAGACGTTCAGGAAAGCCCGGTTCCTTGCGTCACAGTGCACTCCGCAAATAAGGGATGCCTATCCGTACCGTGTTCTGTCCGCTGTGGACCAGTCTGCGAGACGAGGAAGGGTCACCCTTTCATCAGCCCACACTCACTTTTCCTGAACCTGTGACATTCGACCACCGACCGCTCTTTTCAGTTGATGATTCAGTGACTGGTTCACCGAATATTGAGATATCTTCAGGTCTTTTTGCAACAATGATTTGTTGTGCGACTTTGGGAATCTCGGACACTTGATGACCGCTTGCCCCTCCTTTTTTTTGTGGCCCCCGATTGATGATTGATCAGCAGACCAGACCTACGTACACAACCGCACTCGCCCTCGCATTTGTTGATCCTCTCTTTTTCGTCCCTTCTTCGGCCGGCCGGTCTAGTCTGTCTCTATTGAAACCCCTTTTGGGAACATGTGGATATGAACTGATCAAAGCATCTCTCTCCCCTCCCTGGTTTCAGTTGTGCCACAGCATGGCGGGCTCTGCCGCCGACGGTGCCTTTTTCTTTCCTTGTTTTAGAGGGCTCTTCGAATCCCGCTTCTCTCCAACGAGGGAGAACAATGAGACGTGGCTTATTCGGACTGACAATAACGATTGGTTTCTGTATGCAACCCTTCTTATTGGCTCCTCAGCGCCGAAAATGCTGCCGAAAAGTACCATCTTCAAGTCGGCTGGTGTTTTTGGTCACGTCCCGGGCTCCACCCATCCGGAACCCAAGGCGGTGCGGATAGATTGGGGCGGCGTGGTTGCATGATATTAAACACTACTACAAAACAATATCGCGGACATTCCTACAGTTTCGCAGCCTTTCCATCCTCCAACATCTTGGTCTGCACCTGGTAAATCTTGAGCAGCTGCCGAACCGCCAAGTCAAGCAGGACATCCTCCGACCCTCCCGGAATTCTCGTCCCCGGAACCTCTCGGTAGAGCACTGTGTGATGGGTAGAAAAACAAGTCAGCATTACCTCATTCAGTCCGTGAACTTGAAGACAGAAAAAACTCACTCTCAGCAACCATCCCCTGCCCCGTAGTGGTGAACCCATTGCCCCCAAACAACAACACCGCCGTATCAGCACACTCCCTGAACACAATCCCCGCCTGCGCCTTCAGCAACGCCGTCATACCCCCCAACTTGACATCCGCCTCCTCCGCCGGCAGTCTTGTCATCCAATAAGCAAAATGCTCCACCCACGCAGTCAAACTCTCCAGCAACGCGCCCGCTTTCGCCAGCCGGTGCCGCACCACGGGCTGTTCCACCAGCGGCTTTCCAAACGCCTCCCTCTTCATGACGTACTCGAAGGCCGCGCTGAGCGCCACCCGAGCCTGCCTTGTCGTCCCCGTGGCGACGGCTAACCTCTCATGGTTGAAGTTGGTCATTATGTACTTCATCCCGTGGTTTTCCTTTCCAATCAGGTTCTCAACCGGGACTTGCACGTCGTCCAGCTCGATGAAAGTAGTCCCGGCCGAGATTTGCCCCGCGACTTTGAGACGGCGCATGTTAACCCCGGGGTGGTTTTTGAGCGGGACGACAAGGAGGGAAATGCCTGCTGCTCCCGAACCGGGGGGGCCGGTGCGGACGGCCATGGAGGCGTAGTCGGACCAGATGCCGTTTGTGATCCATTTCTTGGTGCCGTTTACAATGTAGTGTTGCCCGTCGGGGGATTTCTTGGCCGTAGTCACGATCCCGGCCACGTCGGAGCCGGCCTCGGGTTCTGTGATGGCGATGCAGATTCTTTTTCTGCCCAGGAGGATGTCGGGGACGGTTTTTTCTTGGAGGATGGGGGAGCCGAACTTGAGGATGAGGGGGAGGCCGAAGGCGATGCCGGTCGTGAGGGAGCCTGGGGGGCCGGCGAGGCCGGAGCGGACCATTTCGTCGCTGTAGATGTAGCCGTGAAGGGAGTCAAAGTCTTCTACTTTCAGACCGCCGAGGAGGGTGTGGATGCCGAGTTTTTTGAGCCAGGCTGCGGGCAGGGGGGCGGGGAGGGCGGGGATGAGCATGTGGTGGTTGGCAAAGGTGGAAAAGACGGATTCGGGGACGGTGGCGGTGGGGGATTGCTCGGATTCGACGGCGAGGGAGTGGAGGTTGGAGGTGATGAAGGGGCGGATGGCTTTGGCCCATTGGAGGTGGGAAGGGGTGAAGTAGGGGGAGGGGAGGCCCATGAGGGCTGGGGGGTCGGAGAAGGGGATGGGGGCTTTGGAGGTCATTTTGGTGTTGACGATATGGCAAGTCACAGGCGAGTCAGGTGATGTGAGTAAATGAAGCAAAATTGTTCAAGGCGGTGGGTGTGGTGAACACAAAAGAAAGTATATGTAGCATCGCGGTCCCCCGCATTTTGGAGGCGATCACCAACCGTATGAACGTGATTGAGCCTCGGTTCCCCTGCCTTCTCCGCACGCCCTGACAGCTGCGTTGGAGATCACGACAGGGCTAGCTGAGCATGCGGGGTACCTGGCACAGCATTGGTTTCATGTTGGCTTAAGGCATAGGTGACTTTATCAATCGTTGCATGTATCTGTTGAAGAGAGGATGCATGGATGATATTGCTTCAAACTAGTCTCCTAGTAGCAGAAATGACAAACAGCCTCCACCACAGAAGCGAAAAGTTCAACTTTATGATCCTTAGAGCTTCCAAGATGCAGAGGTCGATTCTCCTACCTGTTTGACTTTGCCATTATTGTTACAAACTGCTCAAGCACCTACAGTGAAAGTCACCCCATCTCCAAGACTGATCCAGACCCCGGCGTAGTCTTTCAAATATAAACATCCCAAAATTCTGAGTTGAAATGGCCTGAAAGACATGACAATATAGCCCCTACCCAAACACCTACTTTATGCAATTGCGCTGTGCAACTCCATCCCATCTCGCCCCTAGCCGAAGCTTGCCTTTTGCCTCATCTGGCTTCTTTGCTTTTGGCAGTAAGATCTCCCATATCCCACAACGACTCCGGGTTGAAATCCTTTGACTCTCGCTTCCTAGCTAATCGACCACTAACACCTTGCAACCCCAGCTGATTCCTAAACTTGGTGGTGAACGTTCCCCCAGGTTAAGCTGCTGACCTTCAGCTGGGGCTGCACAATGCAGGGGAACTAATCAGGAAGCGAGACCTCGAGAATCTCAACCTGGAGCCCTTGTGAGATCAATATGAAAAGATCTCACCACTGCGCCAAAGCCTGAGGCAAACAACCTTACTCCAAACATGCTGCCTAGCCAACCCGACACCTCCCTCCCTCATTCAGCCACCCCCCTTACAAAACAAAAGCCCAAGCCATCAACCCGACCGCCACCCCCTGCACCCCCAACCTCTGCACCGCTCCGGCCGAATCCGGGCTGGCAGTCGACGTAGAAGTCGACGTCGTAGACGTGCTGGTCTGAGTCCTCGTAGCAGTACCAGGAACCGTCACCGAAGCAGTGGTATCATCCCCAGCCCCCGGCCTTCCCTCCGACCTCGTAGCACACATATTAAACCCATTCCCACTCGCCCCCGTATGCGTCATCGTGCCGACATAGACACAATCGCCATTCAGGTTAGGATTGAAAACAATCCTATCCGCTCCGGGGGAGCCTGCTCATCATCATCAGCATCTATCATGACGTGTGTAAAAAAAAATTAAACATAAAAAAAATAAAAAAAAATAAAAAGAAATTGAAAAAAAAATTGAAAAAGAAAAAAATATAAATTGAAAAAAATAAAAATAAAAATAACCAAAATTTAAAAGAAATTTAAAAATAATAATAAAAAAAAGAATTTTTTTAAAAAAAGAGGGGGTGGGGGGAAAGGGAAACTACTAACCCCCTTCATAAACCCCATTCCTCACTATAGGAAACTCCTGATACGGCCCGCTGGCAGCAAAAACGAGACCCTCCCGGTTGTTGAACCGGTGAGGATACTTGTTGTTTCCCAATTGCTCCCCGTCCTCGTGGAGACGGCAGCCTTGCTCGAGGGCTTCCTCGATTTGGGACCGGGACCAGTTGTTGTTTCCGCAGGTTACTTGGCCGATGGAGGAGGTGCCTTGGGCTGTGGCGGTGGCGGCGGAGAGGGTGAGGAGGAGGAGGGTTTTGAGGGTGAACATTTTTGATGGGTGATGATGAAAACAGGATGAAGATAGAGAGAGAGAGAGAGAGAGAGAGAAAGAAGTGAGAGGTGAGGTTGAAGTTAGGTTAAAATGAGCGTGAGAGTTGATGTGTTTGCCAAGGGTCGTGGCGCCAAGAAGACACTGGGGGATTCTCGGGGGAGAGGTAAGTGATTGGCTGCGTTGATGGGGGTGATGGGGAAATTGTGAGACATTGAGATGAATTTGTGGAGCTGCTTCTCTTTTCAGCTGGAGCGAGTGGTTTGGCGGTGTTCTAGAATTTTTGCACTAACATTTTTGGGGAGTGAATTGTGAGCCAGCCATTCGATGTTCTGCGAGGCCTCCTGAACAACCGCCAGGAGGATCCAGGAAGAATCTGGTGGGCATCGCATGCCTCGCTGACGTCAACCCCACCTTTGACAACCATAACTTGTATTTTGAGGACAGACGTCTTTTGTAGCAGGCCAGCAATATTTAGACTTGCATGATAGAGAAAGCTTTGGACGACTTTTTCTCGCTCATTCCTTCCTTGTCAAAATCATCGGATCAAACCACCTCAGTTTTGACACCTTCACGACCAATCATGTGCAATATTTTTGAACAGTCGTTGCAACGGCTCAGCAACCGCGAAGCTGTGTTGACCGCGGTTCGGCACTGGGTCCAGGAAGCCCAGAAAGAACAGCCCGGCGATGATCTGGAGCACCTCTTGTGGTATGCCTGGGAGGCGGTTATTGACAAGGCGGGGAAGACGCCCGTGGACCAGCAAGAGCAGCTAGTACAGTTTCTTGCCGAGCTCAGGAAGCACGAGCTGCCAAACTTGCGGTTTGGCGAGCACAAGGTGTGGAAAGATTTGCCCAACTTCGGGCTGGCGGCTAGGGAGAAGTACAACGATGGTAAGCTTTGACTCAATCCCAAGGTCGTTATGACCACCTTCGCTAATACCATGAAAGTAGAGGCGTTTGCTGCTGATTCACCCGAAGACCGTGCCAAACAAGATGGACTGGTGGGGTTGCTCGCAAGGTTGACAGGTGTGGTGACCAAGGATATCGACCCGGAGACCACAAAGGGAGATGTCGGCGGCGACTTTGCGTTGTTTGGGCTCTGGACCCTGAGGGAGGTCTTTGAGGGTAATGTTACCACATCGAACCCGGAGAGAAAGGAATACATTACGGCGGATGGAGAGTTGGTACAAGGAGCAGATGCCCAGGTTGCCAGTCGGGGAGTCAATCAGGCTAGCCTCTACATCCTGTTGGCGGGGGAGTATCTCTGGAGGTTGAGCCAGGCGAATAAAGATTTCGTGGGGAACAACGGCGCGCCTGGCCCCTACTTCAAAGATCGCGCATGGAAGGGCTTCAGCAAGGAGAGGTGGGCAATCTGGAAGAGAGGGTTCGAGAAGGCCCAGGAGTGGGTTGTGGGTGAGGAAGCCAAGTCAAGAGTCAAGGCCGCCGTCGAGAAGATGGCTAAGCTTGAATGATGTTGGTTTGAGGGAGAGATTCCGGGGGACCGACACATGAATTAAGGTATTTTAGCCAGCTACTTGGTAGGTAGCTTCCGGCTAGCCTAGATCAAATTGACGTGTCTTATTGGAATGCTCTGGATGTTTCTGCTATTTTCGACAACATTATACTGCCGTTTACTATGCTCATTGGCATTAAAGAGCGGCTCAAGGTCCTTGCTGTGAACCCATCAAGACACCGAGTGGCAAGTAGGTCTGTGAGACTGTATTTGAAACCAGAGTAGGTTCGAGACCTACTGGCGCCAACCTGTGGGGATCTGGGGGTCAAGTGCAGTGGTCACAGGTTCTTGTACAAGCTCAGGTGAGTGCTACTGTGATGATGTTGAGTAGTGGAGTCCGGACAGCTCCTAAGGCGCCCAAGTTATAAAGTTCGCATTAACTTGGAAGATAAGATATTTCCCAACTTTAGCCCCATTCTATGATTCCTATCCCTTTACGGTAGGCAATCCAGTAGTCAACTCATCTTGGGAATAGCCTCATCTCGTCTCGGCTCGGCTCACCGTCCCCTTACCTTATTCCATCCCACTGCAAACCCCGCATTCTCCGAGATGTGTCTGCCATCAATGACCCAGCAAACTCTATTTCTGGGTTCTTCTCTTTTTCTGATTCTTCTAGCCGCAGTGAAGCTTTGCGTTGCTCATATCTGAGATATTCAAGCTCAGCGCTTCCTTTGCAGTTTTCCCCTTCCCTCTCCTGTCGCTCCAACTCCTCGTCCAAAGCCCTGGTGGCCTCCACCTTCCTCTGCGAGGTCTCGACCCTTTCAGCCTCAATCTCTGCCATTTTGCGTTGCCAAGCTTCTCCCGGTTTTAGCAACTCGAAGCGTTTCTCATTGATAGCTTCATACCGATGCCTAGCAATCTCAAGGGTATCCGCGGGACTTTCCTTCTCGGGCCATACACTATCCTTTCTTCTTTCTCTGATTTGATCTTGTTTCCTGTTCTCCAGCACGTTCCGCGTGAGAGTATCCCAGTCGTCATTCTGAGCGGCCAATCGAAATACCGCCCTCCTGCTCTCGGTACTCAACTGGCAGGCTGTAAGCCAGTACAGTTTGAAAATTCTGCTTGGGAAGCTGTTTTTGATCCCTACCCCCTTCCCACCCTCCGTCTGCAAAGCAAAGAGCATCGCCGACACATGGCCATCTTTGGCAGTCCAGCCACAATATACTATTTGCTATGGCTCATTTCAATCCCATCGCAGTAAAAGCTGGGGCTTAGAATTTCACCTGAAACATTTGCTTCCTCAGCCGCATTCTTAGTCTTGTGTTTCGGTGCGACAAGTTCGCCTTCGCTTTGTGGCATCTTCTCTGCGTCTAGATGAGTCGAGGTCTCCAGCTTGCCTTCACCTGCTCGGCTTGCTTGATGGTATCTAACAAGAGTAACTGGTGTGCAGTATATACAGTGGTCTGCTTGATGTCCACAGGCAGCCTGAAGCGAAGGAAGGTGACTGGGTAAGAGCAGCTGGGGGCCAAAGTGCAAGTTCTCCGCTTTACCATTCGCACCTTCCCGTTGTCTACTCACATCTGCAGCGGCTTTTGGTATGATCATGACCTTCTTAAATCTTTGAAACGCCGGCATGTCGGGCCTCGAAATCGCCGGGGTGCTTTTGGGGTGAATCCATCCCTATTCTGATCTCGACCCTCGAGTACTACAGCGAAGGTCTTTCTACGTTGCGAAGGTAAAAGAAGTACCAGGCTGAACTGGATTCCAATATCGAGAAGCTCACCAATCAAGATATTGATCTAGAGTCTTCACGACGGGCCCGCTCGCAAGGAAAACTCCTCCATATTCTTAGGAATCTTTTGAATGAGTCTGTACCACGCTCTGCAACCTAGCTTGGCATGTAGTTGCCAACACGATCTCGGCGTAAAACTCGAAAGGAGGACCACCATCACGATCACCGACACCAGACGTACATCCTCTAATACCTCAAGCCTCCGCTACTGACCCCCCGGCATCTAGACCCAAAGGAAAAACGACTGTCAGCTTCAGATTGCCTCAGTTAGTAGTCACGTCAACAGCCACGACTGTTCTCGAATCACAACCACAGAACACTATCACTAGCGCAATTTCAGGCCTGACCAACACCTTGACGGTCCCTTTGTTATCGAAAATCAGCACAACGATAAATATTTGCGAGGCCTTTCAAATTTGCAACAGAGTTGCATTGCGCAGGATAGGGGCGCCTATGGGATCATCATTGACCACCAGGCGTTAGGAATGGGCAGACAATATACCATCTACCCCAGCGACCCGACAACAACTTGGTCTCTCATCGCGACCGTCTCCACCTTGCACTCGTCATTTCATCAAACGTCCTTCAACTCCACGGCACCCCTTGAGTCCCGGACGCCCTCGGTAGCCATGATGTTTTCTTTCTTGCGAGGAATGGATATCTTTTGTATAGCCAGCCACTCTTCCGCAACACTCACCAACCTTCCACCAACCCAGTCTTGTCGCCTTCGGAATCAGACAACGGCCTTGCCTTCGTCCTCGAGCGGGAACCCAAAGTACTCGCCCTTGGCTTCCTCCTTATCGAGCTAATGCTTGGCCAAACGCTGGACGCACTTCGCGGCGACACGGGACCAGGGAATCTTTCCCGAAGGTAGTCTGCTATCAAAATATGTCATCGCACAGAACGCCTTACCTAGGATCAAGACGGAGAGTCTGAATTACTGGACTGCGGTCAGCCGCTGTACGGATGGGGATCTCCACAACTGGAGGTCGGGGACAAATGGTACGGGACTGGACAATGAGAGCTTGTGTGAGGAGGTATATTCGGGAGTAATTGCGCTGCGCATTTTCAACTTATCACCCTTGGGGAGTGAAATTTTCTTCTTTTCTTTTTCTTTTTTGGATTAGATATCTTGGAAGTATACGCGCAGCGATGGAGTGGACCGTATCTAATTTATTCGATCGTGGCTCTACCTACCAAAAGTGACAATCCCTTCTTCATTTTTCAGAGCTTTCTGACGTCTCAGATCTCCTCACACAACTCTTGATCAACACGAACCCGACAACCTGGGATCGGACCCATAATAACCACACCCCACACATCAGATGCGAAAAGCGGAATAGCGTTTTGTTTTGGAGCTGTCTAGAACCATTGTAGGCATTCTAGACAACAAGGAAAAGGGGGAAGCAATTACCAAACAAAGGTGAAAAACCCGCTCGTTTGTGGCATTGGTGCGGTTGTGGCTCCGCTCTGCGCTTTTATATCTTTGTAACAACAACACCGAGGAGGACCGAGAGCGAGAGAGTGATCAAGCTTTTCACTGACAGGATGAAGAGCGGATACCGAGCAGTAAATCAGGATGGATGCTACAAGCCATTGCTCAGTGATATATTCCTTGATAGGCGCTATCGTCCGCAATGTTACGTAACTTGAGGGCGACCTTGGGCAAGCTATCGGCATGTTCCGCGTCGAGGTAGCCCCTGGACAAGTTTTGATAGCCAATGGCTGGATGGCTGGCGTAAAACTCCAGTTGGGCCTTGCATGCGCAAAAATATAGTTGTAGTAAGGGTCTGTGTCACGGATTTGTTTGCAACATGGTGTATCCTGATGGGCTTCGGTGATATTCTACCAAGAACTTGATGTGAATGAGGCCGGTGGCGTCTTGGTTCAGGAGGTTTGTCCTGTTTTCCTCTAGCGCAATGTCATGTCGCTATCCATTCGGCCGATAAAGCTGTCAGGTCAGAGCGGAAGGGAACCGCGGAGGTGTTCGAGCAGGGAGGGCGTGAAACATTTGGGGAGATAGGACGGATTGCTGCTACGGCAGTTGACGGTAGTGGCGTCTGGGTTGCAACGGTGCCGGAGTGTGTTGTGGAGAGCAGGCGGAGAACGGCGCATCTCCCGAGTTTGTCACCGAGATGGATGAGATGGAGGCCGTAGGGGAGATGTCATGAACTTGGCGTTCTGGGCTTCGTTTTGAGAAACTCCAGGGCTGTCTTGGACGAAGATGAAAGGATGAACCCAGGACTCAGGACCCTAACCCGCAAGCGAAGTTTCGTCGGAACGGTGACTGATTGGTTGATGTGTGAAGGGATCTGCGAAGGTGGGGCATCTCAAGTCTCTCTTCTCCCCCGCCAAGCGATCGTGGTTGGGGGCCCGGGCGCTATCGAGAGGGGTTACGCGCGATCAAGCGCACAACGGCTGCGGCCCTGATGCAGCCGTGACGACGTTGGGAACGATGACAGCCTAGCTCGCCTTGAGTCGCTCACTAGTCGGACCGGACCCTGGAGCCCATCATCGAGTCTGCCCTCCCGTCCCCCGTCCCCCCGGGGGGGATAGAGTGGCACGTCAGACAAGGCACGAACGAAAAGAGCAGGAGTTCTGGTGGAGGTGGCGCTGTGTCCCGTCCGCTGGAACTGCCAGGTGGTAATGCGCGGGGGTGGGCCTCCCATTGTTCCCTTCTCTTGAGTGTTCCTCCAGCTCCAGTCCAGTGATCTGGCAATCAATCAATCCAATCCCTCAAATTGCAGCGAGCGTCCACCTTCGACCACACCACAGACGCCATCGTCCATCCGTACACAATCAGATCATCCTGTCGCCCACGCCGGACTTTCCTCCGCGCTGCGACCCCCACCACCCTGCGAGTCCGTCAGGCCAACAGCAATGGTGCTGACGCTGTCGCCGGAGCCCCTCGGCCGTTCACACCGTGACTCCCCGCGACCCAGTGCCCACTTGCGCTACCGCTGCCGTCACCACCCCCGTTGCTCCGTTGGCGAAAGCGGACCCGCCACCGGCCTCAGCCAACCGTTGCCTCCGCCCCGTTGACCGTTGAGTTGACCGTTGGATCTAACCGTCAACGCCGCTGCCGCCGCCATCAGAACTCAATGGACCTCGACGGCAGCACGTCTACGGACGGTGGGCCCATGGCCCTCCTCGCCGCCGCCGAGGACTTGACAGGACTCGTTCTCGACGGCGACGAGGTCAAGGTTTTTGTCAAGGAAGAAGCCACA